TCATATGTGTAGAATAATGCATAAGACTGGTGTATAGATGCTGTTGGGAGTGGGTGCACAATTTTAGGATAAGTAGACGAATATAAAATGTTTCATAACATGGTGTGAAATTTGAAAAGACAGAATTCAATATGGTAGAAAAGAAGTAATTTTGGATTTAGAATGATAAGTGGAAACTTTTCAGAGTGAGAATACAAATAATAATAATGATAATAATCGTAGTAATAAGGAAAAAGTAAATAGAATAACTAAATAAACAAAATAAATAAATGTCTATCCTTCTACAGCCAAGGCAGAAGTAGAGATTGTACATATTTCTTTTTTACACAAAGGTCTGGCTTAAGTTCAAAAATTGCCAAGGCGTCCGCTGTCTTCAGAAGTATATAACGAAGAAAATGCCGCCAACAAGTTAGCATGGATTTGGTAGGTGATGTTAAATTCACGGTGAGGGTTGGCAGAGTGACAGGAGTCTATCAGGTGTTCTAGAATACAGCTTCACACACACTTCCTTTCTCCCTTGTAAAACCATGCAGCTGGAATATGTTCTCGTATCCATGTGGAAAGCTACGGCTAATGTACCTTGCTCCACAAAAGCAGGTGAACTGACAGATGCACATGGAGGCGGCCAGACGGGGAGCTTATCTTTTACAGAGATGGAGAACAACTTGCGGCTGGTGAACGTCATATGTAATTTTGCTGCAAAGAACGTCTTACTGACTGCTTTAGCGAGATGGTTTTTGGACAAATCTGAAGCTTGATCATCTTTGAATTCCAAGTTCATGAATAAGATTTTTTTGGAACTGAGTCGGCGATCAGTTTAGACTGCTTATCTTTCGTATTACTCTCATAAGTAGGTTCGGGTAACCATTTTCTACCTTACCAATTTGCCAGAGACTTATAAGCTTCCTCACTACCCCTAAATATACTAGGTACATTGGGTCAAGAGGGAAGCACTTAACCATATCAATGTTTAATTCCTCAAAAACACACTGTTCACGGTGGTGAACAGTCTTAACTAAAAAAAGGAGATGCACATAAGCTGGCCAGTGCTTGGTGCTAGAATGACACCCCGGGACTTCCCGAGAAAATGTAGGGGGCTCACCGAAGTCAGTCGGTGGAAGGCCACTGAATGTCGCATCTTCCTCCTGTACCTAGGACCTGTATTACTTAAGGACACTATGCCACCCGGAATATACTGCAACTTCCAGAGAATTAGTTTAGCAGTTTACCTCCTGTCTCACAAAAAGTTTCATCGCATTTACTTGGAAGGTTGCAGAGATGAGTTAGTCAACTTCCTCAATGAGTTTGAAGTGATTTAAGGCAGGGAGCACTTAGTTTATAATATTCATTGTCTGCAACACCTAGTGGAAGATGTCCATGAAATGGGACCTTTAGAATCTTTTTCGGCGTTCCCATTTGAATCTTATATGCAGACAATTAAGCGCTCTATACATTCTAACAATGCGGTAACTAAGCAGGCGGCACAAAGATTTGCAGAAAAGGTATTTCACGACTGCAAATCAGGAGCACTACACGAAAAGCTTCTAAATCAATGTGAAGTGGATGTAGATAGGCAGATAATTCACACCAGGCGTACAGTTATCACTTCATCTTCACCGGATAACTTCGTTAAAGCCTACAGTAAACCTGGTCTCATAACGCAGATACACAAGGAAGTACTAACATTCAGACCTTATATAGAGATGCTTGTGATTTCTTCGACCAGCCATTTAAGTCATCCCACATTGGGATATGGAAATGTTCCAAATTAAGCCCCCACAAGCTAGAAATTCTGCCGTCAGATATTATTTGTAAGTGCTTCTGTATTCGTACAGACAAGTATGAAGTAGCAGTGCCGTTGCCTCATACTTTTCCAGAAACTGCTTAGATTGATTGCGTCAACCGTCGACATTCCTGTATTCAATGACAAGTGGACTAATAAGACTGTAAATTTTGTTTATATCATATTTACTTATTTCTTACAGAGCGAAAAGAAGACTTACGCGCTGTGGTAACAAAACCTGGTACAAAAGAATTCTTCATAGTCGCCAGAAAGTGGATGCTGTCGGATGACATGTGCATGTATCACAGCGATGTAACAGATTCTGAAGTTGAAGCATGCACAAGGTCTAGACCGGATTGGCTCTTTATTTCCTGTCAGATGTTAGCTGAGCAAGGTAACTGTTTCGGCATTAACTACATCCCCGTAATTAGACTCTTTTCTAGAAGCCAAGAGTACTTGGTCGACTGTAAGACGAATGCACAATATCCTATCCAATTCAGGTAATCTTGAGGAGACATTGCCCCTAAACAAATGCCAAACGTCAAAGGTAGATTATCCTAATTGGTCAATGACAGAATACAGAGTGGAGACGAAGAACTTCGCCTCATACGTTCATGACCCAGCTGAACTGGAAGCGGTTGAGGCACAGAAAGTATGTGGGCCATCTACTAAATACCCTAACAGCAATTATTTCATGGAAACTGTGATGGCCCCGACAGCCAGGTGGCGCATTCATTTCATATTCTTATTCCTTCAGCACTTCCAGTCAGTCCACAAATGCCAATGGCGACATCGTCACCAATCACACAGCCAATTAGGCAGACTACGTATGTCATTTTTAATCACTGGTTACTTTGTATTAAGGAAAATACTGATTCCAATGACAAAGTGGTTTCTCAGTTACAGTCCCTTAAAGGAGACGTACAGTTCCTTAAAGGAGAAATGTGCAGTCCTTTGGTAAACTGCTAACGCAGTTGGTCTCATCAAATAGGTCGGGCGACGTGACCATTTCGGGAACCGGGAAATCGTCCATTGACACTAGTCAACTAGAATTCCCCTTGTCGACTGAAGAAGAGTTTAACCAACTGGAAGCATCATTGAAAAGCCCAAAATTCAGAGATTTACTCTTAAGTTTACAATTAACCTTCGATTACGTTTAGATGACGAAACTGGTTGGGAATTCATCGTTCAATCCGCAGCCTTCGTTGAGACGAATGCTGAATCACATATGGGAGCCTAAGCTATCAAGTCGCCTCACAGCGTGCGGAACACCTCAAAAAATGCTGCTTCTATAAAGTTATAACATGTAAGCTTGCTTTATTTAAATATTCCCTTCAGCCGTCATTGTCAGCAAGTTCGCTTCTGTTACGATGCCCGAAGGCGATGTAATGGAAATTTTGAAAGACACTACCAAGTCATACTTCCACGATATACGTGATCGTGTAGAAAAAACGGGGAGCCGGCCAAGAGTAAGTAAAGTTCTTGTTAGATTAAAGTTACTATACTACAAACCGTTTCATTGTATGCATGTCAATGAACGAAATTCTGTTTTTAATTTTCACAGGTTGCTGTTGACAAAAAGATTAACCAGAGGATCTGTGCTACAAGTGACAATTTAATTAAATGAATACTGTAAAAATACTCACACTTAAGGTCTTTCAGTGTGAGTATTTATATGTAAACGAATAATTTGATTTGTACTCAATAATTAAGTAAATTTTTATAGCTAAATAAACACGTTTAATATATTGTTATGTCAAATGTCTGTATAAGTGTCACTGTTGATTACTACCTTACTAACTAATTTTTTTCCTTTTCAGGATAGTTCAATGGATCTACTTGATGTGAAGCTGCATTCAGACTTCAAGCTTTATTTTTTTTCCCAAGTATTTGTGATCCATCGGAAACATACTTGGGTTTTTTTTTGTCAACGCGAAGACAATATTTTTATATTTCTTGATGTGCTCCATTGATGAAGCCTGTAAACTGACGTCCCTCATGTAAAAAATGAGAACATATTATTATTACTTGTGTGTACCATCTGTAACTCTAAATGTTCATTAATCCTAAAGAATTCATTTGCCGAATTGTTGTTAACTTTTTTTCCTTTAACCAATACACAAATTAAATATATTTATTTCCATAACCAAACTTTATTTGAATTGCGAGTTGCTTGATGTAAAGAGAATAAGGGGAAAATGATGCGAGTAATAGGAGGAAATTCTGCTAAGTGTAAAATATGCGAGTAGAACGGGGACATCCTGCTGATCAAGAGGAAATCATGACGTATAAAAAAAGGGGACAATGTGCGGCGTCTGGGAAGAAGGGGAGAACCGTCGCATTCCGAATTTTGCCCTCTTAACCTCTCAATGGACTGTCCTCTTTCTTAACACGATTCTCCCCATATTTGTAGGATTCGGGGGACCTTACTGAGATAAAATCTTTTTGTAAGAACTACAGCAAAGGCGCATCCAGTCGCTTATGACTCATTTGCTTGCAACGTTAAGACCGATAAAAAGTATGCGCCAACAGATGTTATACAACTTTCCCGAAAAAATTGACCACACTGAACGCTGACTTCCGTTGTGTCCACGGCATATCGAAAAACAGCTGTATCTAGTATACCTTCGTAGATTCCGAACAATTCATCTTTATAAACTACAGCAAGCGAAGTGACACAAGTTGTGTCGGTTCGAACAATGGTGTTTCCAGTTACATAACAATTAGATAGCGTGAAGCTTATCTCCTCTTTTTTAATTACCAATAAGAATAAACGAGCAGTATTCTACTTAGGTAATGCGAACGTATGCAGCAAAAAAAATCTTGAAGCATGCAACCAACAACCATGCCTGTTTTAGATAACTTATAATCCGTTACTTGAGAAAGACTACATTAGCAGAGTATCTGATGATGACATCCACGACGTCGAGTTGATTCACATAATCATAAATCTTTATTTAGGATAGCTGGGAAAACTATCCTACTGTTTAGCTGAGACTAGCAGTACTTTGGCTGGATGACATTTGTTACTTCTAATTATCGAAAATGTGATACGAATGCGTTGAGCAACTTAGGTCCCCATGATGACTTTAAGAGGAGTACTTCTGTAAATTGATTCAAAAAGCTTTAACACCAAAACGACCAGGGCCAAGAAACGAGATATGCTACACAGCTGATTAATGAGTGCAGTTGTAAATTAAAATAAAAAAGACTCGTCTCTTTTAAATTAATGTATCTATACAAGTTTACATAATAAAAGCGAAATTTTATATTGCGCTTCGTCAAAATACACACGGGGTTCAGTTTCAGTGTCTCTACAATGCGCTACAAGCCCATTTTCCGTCAAAGAACAATCTGAAAAAGAATACAGTCTTCGTTAGAGCATGTTAATACTGTATATTTCTCAAAATTCAGGTAGAGGTCGCCTCATACGATATCAGAGACGAAAAATAAGTCATCATATTGAAAGAGCGCGAGACATACCTGTGAGCAGATAACGGCATTCAACATCCTGGCTTCGGGGGAAATAACTGCGTCTTCACTTCTCTATAGCTGTAGGCGAAATTGCCAGCTTTATCAAACAGAAGCCATTCTCACCAACGTCGTTAGTTTCCAGCAGGAATGTCGTATCACTAACGTCTGCTAAGAAGTGAAATGACCATAAGATTTGATCCATTGTCCACCAGACTAACAATATATTCTAAACGTCGAGATTCTGCTCCACTGTAGGCCTGATAAACTAGTTGGGAGAGTTTGTCATTCTCCGACAACCTCCAAAGGATACGAACAACAATTATCGCAACCGATCAGCAACGGAGAGAATGTAACGAAAACAATACTTGTGTATATAACCAATGTTCTGTTTTCTCTTCTTGAACGAAGAAACTCGGAACGCATTATACATTACACATACAAACGGAGTTCTTCAGTCTCACAAGCTGCGCAATGCGTCACAAGCCCATTTTCCGTCAAAGAACAATCTGAAAAAGAATACAGTCTTCGTTAGAACATGCTAACACTGTATATTTCTCAAAATTCAGATAGAGGTCGCCTCATACGATATCAGAGACGAAAAATAAGTCATCATATTGAAAGAGCGCGAGACATACCTGTGAGCAGATAACGGCATTCAACATCCTGGCTTCGGGGGAAATAACTGCGTCTTCACTTCACTATTGATGTAGGCGAAATTGCCATCTTAAGCTGGCATTTTCTTCGGGCGCATTGCAGATTTTGAGTATTTGACCCGAAGTCTGCTCCAAATAGTCTGCAGTGCGCCCTAAGTTACTATTATACACTACGGCCTCATTAATGTTCGAGGGTCAGTCGGCAACTCAGGATGCAGGGACTTAAGTTCTTCCAGCATAATACGAGTATTTGCCATATTCAGCTTGCATCGGTAGACAATGTTGCGAATGGCATCAACTGCAGTGCACTCGCTGCGGTTAGCTTTCTCAGTTGCAGGCAGTTGTTCAGCCGTTAAGTGTTCCTCCAATGACGGTGGAGATGCATTGGTATCACAAGGAACATCAACTGGAACGACAAGTTGTTGGGGAGTAACCATGTTTCCTGGCGTAATTTCTGGCTGCGGTTCAATTTCACGAGATTTGGAATACAATTCTGTGTACATTAATTTGAAATAACAAGCTTACCTTCTATATGCTTCTTCCACTCCAGTTTGTATTTCTTGAGACGTCGATAGTACTTTGACCTATATCGGCTGAAGTTAAAATTAAGTTTCGCTGCTTCGTCACAGGAGAATGATAAATGCAACTTACGTAGTCTCAAATACGCCCGGAGTCGTGGTTCGACAACAGCTGGTGTTATGCTGTCATCTCGGTTAATAAGTGTATTGATCATGGTTGACGGAGAACCCTTGAAGCTCATTTTACCTATAATAAATCGGAAAAATATAAAAGAAACTGACTTCTGCAGTCTACACTGATTATATGCTATGTCTAATGATAAAAATGGGTAGTAGTGTAATAGTTGTAATATTAAACATATAAGTATGCAATTAATTACTTCCAAACATTGGTAAACTAGGAGGTTGGCAAGCATGCAAGGAACTCACCGCAGTGGAATAACAAACTGAGAATTCAACCGCTCCCAAGGATTCTAGTCCAGTAAAAGACTTCTAATGAAGTGGCCTATTATGATGTATTCAGATAGTAAAAACTATGTTTAATTGATTGCTTATATTAAATAAGTATATAATTTCAATTTATATATTACTAATCACTAATTCAGATTCATTGTAACGCAGTTTAGCAAAGTTAGCTGTCATTGGTTGATGAAGTACATTTGGGTTACTCCCATTGATTGATTCCTAGCCAATCACCGCTAATAAGAACGCCCCAAAAAATCTGCAGTGCGCCCTAAGTTTAAGTCGGAATCTGCAATGTGCCCGAAATCTGCCCCAAAAAGTCTGCAATGCGCCCGAAATCATTGCTGGCTGGGTTTGTCAAACAGAAGGCATTCATCAACGTCATGCCAATTGTTGAGCATTCAATATCAGAGCATCTCGAAGTGATGGAAAGACGCGAGAGTGTCTTTGTGCATGGAGAAAAAGTGAAACACAGACATACATCCTTTCACACGAGCTCTGCTACTACGAGGGGACAGCACGATGCCGACAGAGGATAGCGGCACAAATGGCTTACGGAGAGGCTGAGCACTTGAAGGTCACTTACGCACACTGTGATTGGTAGACTTTCCTTTGCGTAAACGTTGCGGCTAATACGTGTCGTACGTTACTGAGGCGGGCTTTGAAATAACAATAATAAAAGCGAATAGACATTATATTTTTTAGCCGAAGGGAACAAGTTAACATGTGTGTAAATTTCACAGATGTAATAAGCATTTGATCCACTCACGAGGAGAATATTCCTGGCTAACTTAATCAAAGAAGTATAAAGTTTGAAGATTTTATCTCTTTCAGTTGGTTGTAACGGATAGATAAGAGTCACTTGTATAATATTTGCTTTTTACAGAAGAGAAAATGTGACAGGTGATTTGGAAGTTACGCAATTCCTGAAATCTATCGTGGAATATATTGAAGACTAATCTATGGAATTTCTCCAACTCTGTGATTGTTCCCTCCCTTGTTCACATATTCAGTGTAGCTAAGATAAGGAATTGTTCACCAGAGGTAAGATAAATTTATCTGATATGTATCCATCCTCAGATATTTCTCAATACGGTCGAAGGAACACAATGTCAATCTTTGCTTGAAAAGTTCTCATCCAGTTTCTCCGAACGGATCTGGTGGTGACGAAAACTGCAGACTGGTCGAACATCACTACCAACGGGTACAAACTGATACAGATGTTGCGGACAGAGTGTTTGGTGAACTTATGATGACTAGTCACCATAGCTATGATGCAGCTATAAAAACTCTACAACTGTGATTTTTTTCACTGGATTGTTATTCACTCTTTTTAGTGTAGATATGTACTCTTTGATTCTGACTTATTTTTAACTTCATTGATTGTTGTTTCCTTGCAAATATATGCATTTATGTCGACTAACTTTGTCTCTTTTACCTATCATGTTGAGGACAATGCAGAGTTAACGAGAATGAAAGGCAACGTAGTAATACTTATGTGAAATGCGTCAGTCTTAAATTGTTATTATTTCCTCAATGCGTCATTAAGCCTTACGTAAAGTGTTTCAGTTACGTTTAGCCCGGTTGCGTATAATATTATTATTCACGATTGTTAAGAAAGTGGCCGTAAAAAATATGTTCGTACTGTGATAACGAAACATAACCTAGCAAACGTAGGTTCTATACGTACACGACTTGTATTGGTAGTCTAGGCACTTCAAGTACACTCTGCAACGCACATCGTATTTATCACAAATAGTCTGTTATTCTTATGTTGCGTTTAACACCACTATCTCAAAGGAAATCATTAGGTAACAAAGAGATAACTACATTATTCTTCTTGTGTTATCATTTCCTATCAATAAGCTCTTACATGATCACATCAACGCTTAGACTCGTGCATTAGTTGACTACGTCACTAAACTTCATTGATTATTTCGTTATCATAAAATACGGTAACACATTAGATAGGCTTTTGTTGTGCATATCGCCTGTTTAAGGTTTCCTAGCGAAAGCAATAGCAGTACCCCATCGTGACCAAATTCAACCACGTGTAAATATGACATTTTACGAATATTACGTCTTCTACACTGGCATCACTTCGCTACTCCACAAACAGTAAGTATTAATAGTGTATGAATGGAGTGAAAAATTTTCAAAACAATATTTATTTCGATAAATACATTCGTAATATCACAAATATTTCATCATTTACACAAATGTTATCCTTTTTAATCCCATTAGAATGTCTAAATGTATTGAGTGATTGAGGAAGTAAAGACCATAATCTGGAAATTAAAGATGATAAAAATTTAATGAGAAAATGGTGAGTTATATAAATAACTTAAAACATAGTACCTACCAGTTAAACGACTGCCTCTTCACCGTTATCTGACGAAATAAGCAACTCAGTTTCCTTTCTTACTGTGAGATTTGGTAAAGATCATGAAATCATACCTACCTCGATATTTAAACATCTCCTCATCATTTAAGTAAAATACACTAAAAAATTGGAATTATTTAGCATTTTCTATCATAATTGACATTTTCCGACGAATTCTGACATTTCTTATGCGCCTCAGCATGTCAATTCGATGAAAGGACAGCATCTTTAAACACACTGAAAACGACCGTTATTCTCAAGTTTTACACGATTTTTCGTTAAAATACGGTATGTAAACCGTATTTCTGTCGAAAAAACCACTAAAAACAACGTAGAATAGCCCAAACACAACACCACGATAACACCTTACAAACTGCAGCAATCAGCTGATTTGTGCCGCTATCCTCTGCCCACGATGCCCAACTGCGCACAATCTCTATTTCCCGCGACGTGCTGCATCATTGTAAAGGTTTCAATTTCCAATATCGTCTTCACGCGTTAGCATAGAGCAACTTGATTTCCTTTTGCTCCTTTCGTGATTGTCAGGTGAAATTTCTCAGCTTTCAATAGACTTCTGCGTAGTTTGTCCCTCCACTCGACTGTTGTAGCCTTGGTTGTTTCCAAAAGAAGTGGTTCTGGGATTGGTTCTTAGTATGAGGTGTGTTAAGTCCGTGTCGCTACTGTCAGTGGAGTTTGTCCTTTCAGGCGTTATTAATCCCGTAAGGTTGAAAATAAAGATTAAAATGATGATAAAAGCAGACAGTATTAGTGTAGGTTATTTAGACTTAGAAAAGAAAAATAAAGGAAATCTAAATAAGGTGGCTAATGGAATTTAAAGCCGATACATGCATATGCGTAAGGGAAGTAATAGTTGGAGTGGTGAGAAGAGCAATACAAGAGTGAATGTGATGAAATAAAGATGAGTTTAGGTGTATATCCACTAATAGTGTGTGAGTTTTAGGGGAGTAGGTCATTTGGATTCATTCCTTGTGTCGTTTCTTGGATATCCAGTATGTGCTTAAGGCTTTCCACAGGCGGTAAAGTAGCCACGTCTGCTGGTAGGGAGTTCCAAGGCGCAGCCACAAAGAAGCCCATGCGTGCCTTATCGCAGAATACCTTTGTCCAGATAACTCCAGTCATTTTTATTCTTAGAGGTAATAATTAAATTCCCGCCTAAGCTGACAGTAGCCAAGTGTGAAAAGATCTAATTCCTTCAACCGTTCATCACATGATCTATTTTGGAGACTCATTTCCTCTTTGGTTTCCCGTCTTCGGACTCTTTGCAAATGGTCAGCGTATCTTCTAAGCAGCCGGGAAGCAATGATATTGTGCATTTCGATGTGTGGTCTCACCTATGTTTTGTACAATCTTATAAATAGATCAGGAGTGAGTGCACCTGGTAAAGTTCAACAATAGCGTCCCAAGCGATGTGAACGCACGAGTGACTTTCAGTCAAACAATCATAAAAATGAGGAATTTTTTCGCAAAAATGACGTATAATTACAAAAGTGCATGAAAACACATTAAACGTTTCTTCCTCCTTTCCCAGTAATGTCCCTCTTTTTTCCAAACAATTGTCAGATCGGAAAGTTACCTTTCTCTGACATGACTTACAAATACGTCTCAGTTATAATGAGGAGCATAAGTTGCTAAGCTGGACAAGTTTCTGTACATGTATTCACCAAGGTGACTGAAGATGAGCTGTTTTTCTGAGTCGCTTATCTCTCCTATCCTCCTGTACAGTCTTTCCCAAAAGCTCTCTGTCGAATTACCATGGTTTGCAGTAGGAGGATCGACGACCTCTTACTAGGAAAATGTGGGTGATAAAAAAACAAAAATAAATGATGTCACCTTTATATCTATCCCTAATCATAACCCTAACCTTTATCCTGACACTAACTCTAAACCTAACACCAACCCTAATTACAACCCTTATCCTAACTGTAAACCAAATCCTAATTATGACCCTGATCCTAACCCTAACGAGATTTTAAGGTATTGTCCAAACAGTACTTAAAAAAGGGATCTGAGTGAAATTCGATGCATATTCGGTGATACCGTTGATATTTCAGCTATGATAATGACAGGAACCATCAGCCGACCGCTAGCATGCGTTCAAGGTCACAGGAGCAATTGAACTCCTTAGGCCCTTATTACTGAGCTTCGCTAAGCACCTATCTGTTAACATATGAATTGTGCAACTGCATATGCCCTTGCTATATTGCCCATGCGACTCATGCTGTTACACACTTTTCCGTCGCAACTAGAACTAGGTCGCGCTCCAGCTTTGTGTAGGACAACTTTTCGTTGTACAGAGCTTGCACGGCTGAGCTAAACAAAAAATTATTCAAACAAGGGGTATACACGAGAATTGCATTATGTGCCATTTTGCAAATTTTTATTTTTTATTTATTTTTTTTTGATTACAGCTTGATACCACATGCAGTAGAACAATCTAACATGACCTTATCTAGTTTTCGTATCCACAATCAAATTTCTTTCCTATTATGAAACTACGATTAGACTGGTGAAAATATTGGAATAAATACATCATTGACTCAAAATAATACATCAATAAAC